CCATCACATCCAGCTTTTTTTTTTTCTTTTTTGAGAAAGAGTCTTGCTAAGTTGGTGAGGCTGGCCTTGAACTTGCAATATTTTTACCTCAGCCTCTCTAGTCATTGAGATTCTGAACATGTGTAAAGAAATGTGTAAACTGCTGGGGACAGCTCAAAATATAAAACATAAAGATTTGGGCATGTGGCTCAGTGGTGAAACACCCTTGGGTAAAATCCCCAGCACCAAAAATAAATAAATAAATAGACAAATAAATAAGTAAATAAATAAATCAGGTATCATTTAAAAATGTGTAAACACTCTGACTTGAGGACCATACAAATGCAAGCTGCAAGACAGATTTGATCCATGGGCTACAGTTTGCCAAACCCTGGCAGATACTCATATAGAAAAACAAAATAAGCCTCTACTCTTACCTTACACCTTGCTCAAAAATTAATTGAAAATGGATCATAAAGTAAAGTAAATGCTAAAACAATAAAATTTCTCAGAGAAAATATAGGGAAATATCTTCATGACATTGGCAATGACAAAGATTTCCTGAAAAGAACCTAAAAAATGAACTAAGAATTTAAAAATGGATAAACTAAAATTCATCAAAATTAAAAACTTCTGCTCTTCAAAAACATCATTCAGGAAATGAAAAGGCAAATCACAGACTGGGAGAAAATATTCACAATGTTTATATTTGATAGAATTTTCTATTTGGGATATTTAAAGAGCTAAAACTCAGTAACAAAAGACAATCTAATTAATACAGGGGAAAGAATGGAACATACAGTGGAATGAATCTGAAATAATTTTCCTATGTACTTATATGAATACACCATATTGAATCTCACCATCATGTACTTCCTTAGGATGTACATTCTTAGGAATGGGGTCCAAACTAAAATAAGATATATTCTATGCTTGCATAATTATATCAAAATTAATTCTGTCATGTAAAACTAAAAAGAACCAATAAGAAGTGTATAAAAATGAATGGAAGGCTGGGATTGTGGCTCAGCGGTAGAGCACATGCAGGACCCAGGTTCAGTCCTCAGCACCACATAAAAATAATAATAAAGGCATTGTGTTGTGTCCATCTACATCTAAAAGATAAATATTTTAAAAAGAATGGAGCATATACTTCATTCAGGAAAATATGTGAATTGCCATTATTTGTCATCAAGGAATTGAAAATTAAAATCACAAGATGATATGGTGAAAATGGAAACTGCTAATTTTACAACTTTTCTCTGAATCTAAATTTATGTCAAAATAGCTTTTAAAAAATGAGTCTACCATACATCTACCAGAATGGCTAAAATTTTAAAGGCAAACTGTACCAAATACTGGCAAGGATGTAGAGCAACTTGATCTTAACTCTCATATATTGTTGCTGGGCATGTAAAATGGTACGAACATGTATATTCAGGAAGCAGAAGTGGCAGGATTGCTTGAGCCTAGGATTTCGAAACAACCCTGAGCACAATAGTGAGAACTGTCACTAGAAGAACAACAAAAGACAACAAACAACTTCTGAAAACATCTTAAGAATCAAAACTATATGAACCAGCCACTACACTTTTAGGTATTCAATCAAAAGAACTGAAAACATATAACCACAAAATGATTTGTACTTGAATGCTCACAGTAGTGGGTATTCAAAATAGCCCCCAATTTACAAAGAGCCTAAAGTTCATCAATAAGAGGATAGTTAAACAAAGTGTGACATATCCATGCGATGGGATATTACTTAGACATAAGAAACAATAAATGACTAATACATGCAACAACATGTATAAATCTCCAAAGTTTTATGTTAAGCCAGGCACTATGGTGCACACCTGTGATCCCAGTGGTTTGGGAAGCTGAGACAGGAGGATTTTGAATTCAAAAGCCAGCCTCAACAATGGTGAGGCTCTAAGCAACTCAGTGAGACCCTGTCTCTAAATAAAATTCAAAATAGGGATAGGAATATGACTCAGTGGTTGAGTACCCCTGAGTTCAATCCCTAGTACCAAATTTAAAAAAAAAAAGTGTTATGTTAAGTAAGTTAAGTAAGTAAAAGAAGCTAGATGCAAAAACATGTATATAGTCATTGGAAGTAGTTGCAACTTCATGCATAGGAAGTTCAAGAACTGGCAAGATCAGTGTGGGAAAATAGAAACAGAACAGTTGATGTTGTTCGAAGTAGGGATTGGCAGGGGATATAATAGAATCCTTGGGTATTGTAGAGATATTGTATATTTTGCTGAAGTTGTGGTTGCATAGGTGTGCATGTGTGTATATATGCATATATAAATTCATATTTTATACTTTCTTTTATCATATATAAATTTCACTTCAATATTTGAAAGAAAGAAAATCTAAGTCTCAGAGAGGCAAAATGTATTGCCCTAAGTTGTGTTTCAAGTTCATGCAGTTACAGTGAGACCTAGATCCCCCTGGTGCAACAAACACCTCTAACATATGGTGAACAATAAAAATAATAAAAATGAACAAGTCCATACTCCTGGCACTTCAAGTCCAATGTTAAATATACAAAATACCAACCCACCATATCTTCCAGTTTTCCTTCTCTCTTTAAGTGCAGATCTCAGATATGTTTCCAACTCATAACAGATAGGAAGCCTTTCACAGAACTTCTCAATTTGGCTCTCTAACTTATCCAGACTACATCCTCAATGGCAAGAATTGTAAATGCATTGCAACTCCTTTGTTGAATTTATAACATTTGAGGAAAAAGCCAAATAGGGAATTGTCAACCTTTTTTATCATCATATAAATTTATTTAAATTCAAAATAATATGATTATTTTTAGAATAATGTAATATTTCTAAAGCAAATATCATCACTGGCTCTGAAACAGTCTAAAGATATCATTCTTTGAAGTCAAAAATATATAATAAGAATGTATACAGAAGCAAAAAAAATATAGAAATAAATCTGCTGAGTACTAGGAGTTGTGACAAGAGGGGAACACTGAGACATTGTAACAGAGTTCGAATTATAAAACAAGCAGCAACAAGTCCTCTGGCTTTATCAACTCCCTGGAAAATAAATCTGTAACCTCAGGAATGCAAGATACCAGCTCGTGGTTAACAGGACAAACTTCCTGAGGAACACAGGTAGTAATTCACTATACTTCCTTTCTCTAACTCCTTTCCTCACAGCAATTTCTTTTCTTTCCTTTAAGATGGGTTTCACCCTATTAACAAAACATTTGGCAATATTTTATTTTATTTGCTAAGTAAATTTTCTGTTCAAAGTATTCAACGAGTTAGTAGAAGATACTCAAAGATCAAACTTTTTTAAAAAGGTTAATTCAGCTAGTTAGTGGAAACCATCAGTGGCCAGCAGGAAAAAAAAAAAAGTTTTCCCCCCAGTAATATGTTTGCTAAATAGACAAGAAGAATAAGCAGTTAAAAATGGGTGGAAAATCCTAGGGAGTACTTAACACAGATAATCAAAAGAGACTGATGACCTTTGATTAAACCCATTTACTTGTGGAGTGAGCTAGGAGGTGGCTCTAAGATAGTCTGGTTCCCAACAATGTCCACGGCCAAAGGGCATGTTCAGAAGTTCTCCTCCTCCCGTAGAAACTGGAACACAGATGAGAAGTCTTTTTTGGAATAGCCCTTTGCACACATCATTCTGTAGATCTGATGGGCTAGACTGCCCAGAAGGATTGGGCTCTTTGTGCTGGTAGCAGAGTCTTGTGCCAATCCCAGATCCTTAGCCATGAGTGTTGTTCCAAATCCACCCTGATAGTTATTAGCAGAGGGAACTCCATCCATCACTGCAGGAACAGGATTATAAGTGTCGCTTGACCAACACCGTCCTGAACTCATATTTAGGATTTTAGCCAATAGTTTTGGGTCAAGCCCTAACCTGATTCCAAGATTCATAGCTTCAGCGGTTCCAATCATACTAATAGCTAACTGCATGTTGTCGCAGATCTTTGCAGCCTGCCCGGTCCCAACAGCTCCACAAAACAGCACATTGGAGCCCATGCACCCCAGCAGCTCTTGGGCAGCAGCAAATTCCTCTTCGACTCCTCCTACCATAAACATTAGGTTCCCAGACCAAGCAGCTCCCACACCACCAGAAACAGGGGCATCCATGAAAACTGCTCCCATTTTCTCAACTTCTTTGGCCAATTCTTTTGAAACTGAAGGATCAATAGTACTGGAATCTATTAATAATGAGCCTTTCTTCACTTTTTTTAGAATTCCGTTTGTTCCAGAATAAGCTTCTACAGCATTGATACTGGTAGGCAGCATTGTAATAATCCTGTGAGCCTTTTCAGCTACATCTGCTGGGGAAGACACTACCTGTTCACCTGCCTCTTGAAACTCTTTGCATGCATCAGGGAATACATCACAAATAATGAGCGGATAAGCATGTTTCATGAAGTTTTTTTGCCATTGGATTCCCCATGTTGCCCAGTCCAATGAATCCAACTGGAGTCTTAGAAGCCATTGACCTAGAACACACCGCTGCAAGGCTGGCTGCTGCCGGCCGCTGCCTGTGGTTCCAGTACCGGAGGCTAGAGGTGGCTCCTTGGAGCCGCTAGGAAGCTGCCATGCTGCCCCAGCCCCGCCTCCCCGCGGTGACCTCCACCGCCTCCCAGCTAGCCCACAGACTAATTGTCAACCTTTTGCTGGAAAAGTAAAACAGTAGGCACTAGATGGTGTACCTAAATGCTTGTCCTGTCATATATGACATAACTAAAGACTGTTTTCATCTGCTTTACTTTAATGATCAAGGATTTTTGGCATTTCAAATTGCTACTGCCCAAGGATTCCCTGTTAGAACTGTAGTCCAAGAAGCCGCAGGAGTCCTGAAGAACTACACTGCAGCACCCCCACACGACACACACACATAAATACTTCTAATCCTAGAATACTTCAACTCTATGGAATGATTGATGGTATACACTCAGGTTTACCTCAAACTTCATAAAGTGCTTACATGCACACTTGCCACTTCAGCTACATCCTCTTGGCTTATGAATCATTGAAGAATCTTCTTATTAATAATAGCTATGATCATTTACTGAACATTTGAATAAGGCACTGCTGTACATTATTTTATTGTATTATCCAAACAACCCTATTTTATACATTTTCCCATTATCACATCCATTTTCCAGATGAAAAACTGAGATATAGAGAAGTTCCAGTTCACAAAATTAGCAAGCAGCAGTTCTGATTCCAACTGAAAATTGTGTCATAGCAAAGCTCACTCAAATATTAAGCTACTCTATTTTTTGATAATCTTTTTTATTTTATTTATTCTAATTTGTTAGATATGACAGCAGAATGCATTATAATTCATATTACACATATAGAACACAAGTTTTTATATCTCTGGTTGTACACAAAGTAAAGTCACACCATTCTAAGTTTTATCATGTCCAGAGATTGGGCTCACTTAGAAAAGGAGTCTGAGCCATGATTGCAGCCCCTAACATTTTATAGTAAAAACACTATAAAATTTACCTTTCCATGACATTAGGAGCAAAAGAAGCATGTGATCACGCTTAGGAAATTATTTCAAGAAAAGAAAGGGAATGACTCACTAGGAGAACCTACTTATCAAAATATTTACCTGGATAGTTTGTAATCATAGTAGAGCAAACAAGGGAAATAATAATTTATTTCCCAGGGACTGTGTCCCTTGATTATCCCAAAGACAAGAACTTCTTGGCAATTGAATTTATAGCCACTAAATATTTTCATTGCGATGCTTGTTTTCTTATTCAAATATTGTAGTCCAATTGGAAATATCTGGAACTGCAAGGAAAGCCTTGATGGGAATGTGGCATGACTTGCAAATGTGTTACAGAAAGCAAGTCCAGGGTATGAGACTTGGTTTTTTCTTATACACCACACTGAGATGCCTCTGAGTTCAGCTCTTAATTTGAACGACCAACAATAAAAAAAACTACAAAAAAAATAAAATAAAATAAATAAATAAATGAATAAAATAAAGGTCCATCAGCAACTAAAAATAAAAAATTAAAAATTAAAAAAAAAAGTTGATGCTTAGCTGAGCACCGTGGTGTATGTCTGTAATCCCAGCAGCTTGAGGAGGCTGAGACAGGAGGACTGTGAGTTCAAAGCCAGCCTCAGCAAAAGTGAGGCGCTAAGCAACTCAGTGAGACCCTGTCTCCAAATAAAAATTACAAAATAGAGCTGAGGATGTGGCTCAGTGGTCGAGTGCCCCTGAATTTAATCCCCTGTACTAAAATAAATAAATAAATTAAAGTTGATGTTTTCCTTTCACATAGGCAGTAGAGCCATCACTTTTACAGGATAAGAAGAAATTTCTTTCAGTTTGAGCCACGATTATAAAGAGTTTTTTCCATATTTCTTGCAATAATAGAACACTATTCAAATTAACCTCATCCATTCAGGTATTTAACATCAATATATTCTCATTCAGAGATAAAAGGAGCTTTTCTATCTAGAGAGCTTCTTATTAACTGTTCTTATCTGGTCAAATTTCACTAGGCAGACCACAGGAAGTTGTAGATCCTAGCGCTGCCCGGATATTGGACTTTCTCCCACATCTCTGCCTGGGAACTGCCAGCTGAGTTATTGCTGTCGGAGAATTATGCAGTGTGTCTGGGCTTTGGGGTTATCTGATCAGCACAGGCATCAGTGAGTAAAGTTTATTTTTCCCCCAGCCAGCTAAAGAATTATAAACTCAGAATCATAGGTCTGTAATAACCTAAAAGGTCATCTTGTCTACCTTCCAGTCAATGCCTGCATCTTAAGCAGCACATTTGGGCTCCTATAATAATAGTAGAATAGAAATAAATTTGAGTGCTTACTGTATACCAGGGGCAATGTTTTATGTATAAGCTCATTTAATATTTATAACACAACTCTGAGTTAGAAATTATTTACAAATGACAAAACTAAAGTTCAGAGAGGTTACGTTCACTTGGAAGTTCACTTGAAAGTGGCAAGGCCAAGATTCAAACCCAGGTCTGTCTGCAGATCCCAGTGATATGCACCATATTGTTCCTCATAACTCAAATATCTGAGATAACTCCAACTTCTAATATTCCATCATTTTTTATGAAAGTTGATTCATACTTGACACACTGTCCATAGCAGTGTTGGATTCAGAACTTTTGATTAGCAGTGTCTACCTTCTTGTTATTTCTCTTCCTTTCCCAACAACAACAGCAAACCTACTTTTATTTTTAGTATTAGTCCTTCATTCCATGGCAAGAAAAAATATTGGTTAGCTGAAACATAAATCTGGTCATAATACCATGAAATTCTAAGTTAAAAGCCTCCCTCAAAGGCCACAGAGAAAATTTGGAACCAAAGAGATCTGTCATAGGTATTAATAAGTCAATCCCCAAAGTTTCATTGAGTTCAAATTTAAGTAGACTAAAGATCCCCTGGTCAAAATGCATCTTTGTTGCTCATGGGGTTCTACAATGGAGTAGTAAGGTTGTTTGGCTTATTTAAAGTTATCTCTGCAGAGCTCATCTCCCCCTTCTACCTGCTGGATGGTGACTTCTTCCAGGGCAGGTATTATGTCTTTCATTTATGTCTGTTTCCTCTAAAGTATCTATATGTTTATTAGTGTCCTTTTTGTCCTTAATAATGTAATAAGAACTGGATAGACATGAAAAAAAGATAGTCTCTCAGTCTTGTGATGAAAAAGAACTCTAAACCAATAGCTACAATTTAATAAAAAGTGCTCTAATAAAAGTATGCACAGAGTGCTGTTAGAACAGCAATTAGCACAATAGCATGCACATGCAGGGGCTTTATATCCATTTGTTAATTTAATTTACTCTAAGAGAAGGGCTTAGCTTGGTAAGAAGTAGAGAATGAAACAGGCTTTGGGAGTAGAAGAGTGACATAGTCAAAACATAAGATTACTATGGCCAAAAAAAAAAAAAAAGTCCAGAACAGATTAAAATAGTAAAAAAAAAATTAGTTGGGAACTTATTGTAAAAGCCCATGCAAAAATTATTCAGGAGACATTAATAAGGAAAGTTATGACAGGGACAGAACAGAGATACCATATTGAAGAGACAGTGCATTACTAAAATCACCGAACTTTAGTGAGTGAAGTGCAACACTAAAGGAAAGGGGAATGATGACTAAATTTCATGGCATAATTTATGGGAAAATTAAGGTGTCATTAGCAAATGTAGAAAAGAATCGATGACAGTTTTAAGTGGAATAGAATATTCACAAGTACATTTTAATTTTTAAATGTTTTAATTTCTAACAGTCTAGAGCTCAAAGAGCCAAATGGACATGTGAGTCTTAAGCTAAAGAAAGATATCTGGTTTCTAGTTATAAGCTTTGAAAGCCATGAGTACATAAAAAAAAGAATGAAGACATCTACAGAAAGAGTAAAGTTACAGAGATTAGTGAGTGATATATGGTGATCATTAGAATCTTTTGCAATTTTCTAGTTCTCATCTACTTCATATACATGACAGCATTGCCACATGATTGTTTTAACCAAATAAATGTTATTAAAATTGACTTATGTCATTTTCAGGCAGAAGCTTATAGAGGAAGTATAGATTTTACTATGCTTCTTTTGTCTTGCCTTAGTAATCATTAAATCATGTGTCAAGTAGCTGGGGCTGGGGCTCAGCAGTAGAACACTGGCCTGGCATGTGTGAGGCACTGGGTTCGATTCTCAGAACTGTATATAAATAAATAAAATAAAGCCCTATCAACAACTAAATTTTTTTTTAAATAAAGCATGTGTCAAGGAGAATCCCCATTCAATCTGGGTCCTTGGTGAGCAGAGCCCCCATTGCTAATGGATATGTAGCTTGAGCAAAACATAAACCCATCTTGTTTCAACCTACTCAAAATGCAGGGGTTGTTTCTTACTATAGAGTAAGCTAGTTTATCATGAATGATACTGAAAATGTACAGATGCATGCATTTAGAGGATAGAAACCAAAGGAAGCTGACAAGGAAACTGAACTGGGATGGAGCAGAGAAGTTGCATTGAAGAGAATGCAGTGGTAAAAAAAAATAAAATCACTGACCCTTAGTGATTTTACTAAAAATTATGGAACTTATAGTAAAAGAATATTCACAGAGGTGAGAGGTGAATCAAGAGAAAATGGATCTTAGAAGATAAAGAAAACATTTCAAGAAGTGATACTGGCAAGTAGTGAAATGAATCAAAAACTGAGAACGAATATTGAATTTTGGTCATTTAGTAATCTTTTTGGTCAGTAATTTTATTTCAGGTAAGTTCAGTTGTGTCATGGAAAGAGCAGAAATAAGTTGAGGAGTTAATAGAGGTGTGGAAGTGAAGCTAATTAATGTGGGTAACCATATTTAAAACTTTGGTACAGTCTGTAGAGTTAGCTGATTTCATGTCTGTCCAGCAAGGAGAATTATCAGACTTATCAGATGTAACACATTGTTTTGTGATGCAGGAGGTTGGAATATAGGGCCTCACACATGGTAGGCAAGTGTTTTATCTGTAAGCTATACCCCTAGCCCTAGACAGACATATTTGAAGACAATCATTGATATACTGTGATTTAAGACTTCTTTGGACATACCTGTCTCTGAAATTTTAAGGGA